CAGAAAATCAACAAGAAATAAAAGTCATTAAAAAACAAAGCAGAGCCTTAACCAGTTTGGCTCGGTTGATTGAGCGTTGGCCTGTGGACTGAAGGGTCCTAGGTTCAAATCTGGTCAAGGGCATGTACCTTGGTTGTGGGCACATCCCCAGTAGGAGATGTGCAGGAGGCACCTGATAGATGTTCTTCTCTCACCAATGTTTCTAACTCTCTATTCCTCTCTGTAAAAAAATCAATAAAATATATATTAAAAAAGCAGAAATTCTAGAATTAAACAGTAAAATGACTGTACTGAAGATTTCAATTAGAGATTCAAGCAGACCTGACCAAGAAAAGAATCAGTGAACTATAATACAGACCATTGAAATCATACAGTCAGAAGAGTACAAAGAAAAAAGGATGAATAAGAATGAAGAAAGCCTATGTTAATTATGTGATATGACTAAAGAAACATCGATACTTTATTGGAGTCCCGGGGGAGGAGGGAGAGGAGGAGAAAAAACTTAAAGGAATAATGGGTGAAAAATTCCCAAACCTGACAAGAGATTTAGATATCTAATTCATGAAATTGATGTCACCTCAAAATTTCAACCTAAAATAATCTTTTCCAAGACACAATAATAAAATGGTCTAAAATCAAAGACAAGAGAGAATTTTAAAATCAGTAACAGAAAAAAAATCTCACACTAAGTAACACCCCCAACACCCCGCCCCACCCCCCCAACACACCAGAAGGTTTATCAGCAGTTTTCTCAACAGAATTCTCACAGGGCTTCTCAACAGTTCTCACAGGGCAAGAAGAGAGTGAGATGATATACTCAAAGTACAGAAAGGAAAAATAAAACTGCCAAACAAGAATACTTAGCAGCAAAGTAGTCTTTCCAAAGTGAAGAGACACTTTCCCAAATAAGCAAGAGCTGGGGGAATTCATCACCACTAAACCCCCTTTGCTGATGCTGAAAGGAGTTCTTAAAGTTGAAAGAAAAGGATGTTACGTAGCAAAAGTAAACATATGAAAATATAAAATATGCTGGTAAAGTATGTAGTAACTGAGAATGTTTTAATAATGTAATAGGGTAGTATGCTATCACTTAACTCAAGCATAAAGGCTTAAAGGACACTGCTGTATGTCAATTACATCTCAACTAGAGGCCCGATGCATGAAATTCATGTAAGAGTAGACCTTCCTTCCCCAAGCTGCTGGCACTGGCTTCCCTCTGTCACCCAGGACCCGGGCTTCCCTTGCAGCCCCGGCTTGGTCCAGAAGGTCGTCCGGAAGGACATCCAGTTAGCATATTACACTTTTATTATTATAGATAAAACTGGGGGGAAGGTCCTAAATTTAGATAACTAAAAAAATGAAACAACAACACACAGCATGTTACTGATATAAAAATTACACA